CCAGTGCCTAATCCACTTACTACATCTATCTCCCAAGAAAAATCTCTTGAAGAAAGTAATGAGATTTTTTCATTGAAGGAGGAATAAAGGCATTGTGGGGTAAAACATGGAATGAGCTAACATATACAAGTTGCACCAAGAATCATTTGCTAATACTTGCTCCTTTTTATTAGATGAGGTGGGAGGGGAAGGTTGTGTTTTGTAAGTACTGCCACATTGGGAGAAAGAGAGTGCCAGTACTCTGGGGTGAACAAGGAAAGGCAGGGTGCTGAGGGATGGTTCAAGAGGTCCCTTTACAGGAAGGTCACTTGCTCCAGCTTTGAGTTTTGGCTGCTGTCCCACCACCTTCAAGAAGTGGCTGTGAAGAGTGATGATGTGCAAGCCCAGAGTGTGGGACACGGCTGAGCAAATAATACCAGCTCTGCCCACAGCCCCTGCTCTCCTGGTCTCCCAGTAGTTCGAAAGTGCAAGGCACCCGGGAACAACGCGGCCACCACTTCATGGCAGCAGGGAGCTGGGGGCTGAGTCAAGAAATGGGCACAGTAATCTGTGAAAATTCCCACATCTTCAGTTACCGGCATCTCCCAAACTTGGAAAGGCAGACCACTTCCATGTTTTGAGGCCTCCAAACTACTAAAATAAGAAGCAATGCTAAAGCAAGATTACCAAAGTTGTAGGGGTATTTTTTTAAGTTTTGCAACTAATATATTAATAATATTAATGACTAACATACAATGCAATATAGTTATGCAATTCATGTGTCAAAATAGAGATATAAACAAATTCCAGTTCATACTGCAACATGTCTTCATGATATGATTGAGCAAGAGGAACTATGTTTCAGTTTGGATGAAGAAATTCATTCTTTTCTGGCTATGTCAGTTAACTCTCAAAGCAAATTTGTATTTGGAGATTGCAGCAGTTAATACCTGAGACCCCTTACAAATGGGGGTTCTGGGCCCCATGATGTACCTGCCTCTTCTTCCTTTTCCCCCACCCCCATCTCCCTAGCTATAAAACTCAGTTGGTCATGACTATTTCTGCTTCATCAGATCCCCAGAAATAGTCCTTGTCATCCTAATCACCTGATCAATCAAAGACATGTCTGTTGCGCCTTGAGGGTCGCTGGGGCTCCTGGAGTTGCAGGGGCTCTTAGAGTTGCAGAACCAAGAAGGGCATCTGGCAGCACCTGTGCATCAACACAGGAAGGCCACTGTCCACCCTGAACTGACAGTTTTCCTTTCCTTCCTGTACCTTCCTCTCTTCGGTCCAGGAACTCCTGGGCAAAAGCATTTGTTGTGCCAAATGGCTGAAACCACTTGGCATTTAGTGCAGCGGGTCTTGCAAAGAAACTAACTACATGCTCAGTGGTGGAATTCACTGCACCAAAAAATTAGGTGGTTCCACTGCCTGCCTCTAAAGCTCTGCTGCTTTTCAAAGGACTAGAAAATAAAGAAAAATCACACTTGCTTCTGATTCCCCACAAAGACAGTCAATCAGAGAACATATTGTCACCACAACACAAGCCTGTGACCAAGACAACCTCCAGGCAAGGAGAGATCAATATCCGAACCCACTCATTCCACACTGACTGCAAGCCGAACGTGTGCCAGGTACTCCAAGAGCTACTGGATTCACAGCTACAAATAACTAATGATCTTTTTCTATATCAATATCTTAGAATGAAATAGGCAGACAGAATGAGGGACCAGTACTGAGCCCAGTACACACCATTCTGGGACACTTCCAGGCATTGCAGATTGCAGGCTTGGTGTAACCCCTTAAAGTCAGGCTGAGATGTACCTCCCTTCTCTCCTGACTTAATTTTTTTTTTGCTTTTTGGGTCACACCCAGCTGATGCTCAGGGGTTACTCCTGGCTCTGCACTCAGGAATCACTCCTGGCGGTACTTGGGGGACCATATGGGGTGCTGGGAATCGAACCCAGGTCGGCCGCATGCAAGACAAACGCCCTACCTGCTGTGCTATTGCTCCAGCCCCTCTCCTGACTTAATTCCTCCACCTCTTTTCTGTCTTCCCCTTTCTCTATTTCTGCCCCTCTTTCTCCTCATCCACTTCTGGCCTCACTTTCACTCCAAATCTCTTGTCCTCCTTCCTAGTACAAGATCTGGCTAAACATAAAAAGCACATATTTTTATGCCCAAAGCTTCTTCAGCCTTAGAAAGCTTCTGTTCTAAATGTAAATGCCTGCTTTAAAAATGTCTTGCAATTTATTTATTTCCATTCCTACTTTCAGAGTGGTGAAGGTGGAGAGGAGAGCTTATCAGTAAACGTCTTCAATGCTGGAGTTTTTATTTTAAAAGCTGCAGCTCCAAAAGCAGGCTTTTGATGAGGATGTATGCTATACAAACAGAAAACTGAATGAAGTCCCGGAAGAACACAGGCAATTTTAGAGCCCTGGAGTCTGAGCTCAATTCCCTGTGTCGAGGTGGTTTCTATCTGTGTCAGTCAGTGCGTCACAACATCAGCCTCCACCCCCCGGTGAGCAGCACCCCTTAGCAAGCGCCTTCCCACACAATATCATCAACTGTAAAAACTGCAACCACCGCTGAAGTTACAACTGCGATGATTTCTACAAACGGTGCAGTGCTGCTCAATTAATCCTGTTAAGTAGGTTAGCCAGGGGGACAAACACCGTTCATATGGGTAAATTCACAAAGCCCTTCATTCAGCTCCACAAGCACACGAATGATGAAAGTCACCAAAAGAAAATGTTCATTTGCATGTATGAAGTTCTTTCTCTATGCTCATAGGAGAATGCTTCCACAGTCTCCCAGGTCTGCCTACAGTGCCCACTGGAATATCTTCTGCTGCATGATTCTAATGTGACTTGCCTTGAGAAATAACTTTATTTGTAGATAATGGCTCTTAGTTAGACTTTACCTTACGCAAATCTTCAAACTCCCCCTCCACCTCGACATGGGTCTTCCTGTCCCTTGCTTTCTCTCAGAGCTCCTGCTGCATTGCTGGCCTCCTCTCCGGCCCCACTGAGATCTCTACCTTTGTGATGTTGTACTCTGCTACAAATTCAGTTAATTCTGCCCTCTAAGAGGGATCTCAAATATGATTACATTTTATGATGATTGTGAACTGCCATATGTAAAGCACCCCCACACTCCTCTTATGCCTTATTATGCCAAAGGATCAACTCTAAGGGTTTATGTTATTATTACCACTTTAAATGAAGATTTCTTCTTATTTTTGTATCAAGCATAGTACTCAGAATACTGTATAAAATAAAGAAAATCTGTATGGGAGGCTTTTTCTCAAATGCTTGCTGACGCAGTATACTGCAACCAGCTAGTAAAACAAAAGAATATAATTCAAAGGGAGGGGAATATATTATCAACTAGCATTAAAAATGGAAATAAAATTTACGAAGAAAATCATGATTAAACTAAAGAAATAAAAAGAATGTTGAGACTGACACTTCTATATCTGTGCATTGCTGTCAAAATTCACAGTTATGTGGAAATAGTCTGAAAATGGAAAGAAGTCAATAAAAAGAAGGAAGACTTGTTTTGACTATTACTCAAAATATATGATATCTGTGGAGTTAAGGAAGAAGCTCCAGAGCAAGGAATGGGATAAAAACATTGGGTGAGCCATTGGGGGAAGGTTGGGCTTGGTTGAACGGGCACAGTCAGCCAGGATGGAACTCCAGAGCACTGCTTCCTAACAAGAAGTGCCCATTCATGCCAAGAAAGTGGGTGAACACCATCAGATATCACCAGACTTCCCCTGTCTAACTCATAGGATGGGCTCTGATATTTCAGACCCTAGCAGAAGAACCTGATGAGATATCCTTTCTGAGTGGCTCCCACCCAAACTCTGATTCACCATCGGTTTGGGAAAGGCCTCTTTTTTTTCCTGTCCTGCTGAAGGGGTGTTGCCTTATGAAACAACTATTTACAAACAAGATAGCAAACCCTTCAAGAAGGAGAGATTGCCTTTGATGGGTGCAGGAAAGCCTGAACCAGCTGATTACTTGTAGGAAGGGACTAGATGCTGGTCTTTCTGGGAAGAGTCACCCACAGACAACTTGTCCCTAACATACTCTGCTGTCTGTCACAGGCTCCAAACTTCTTTCCAAAAGTAAGTTATGGGGGTGGGGGAGAATATTTGCTTCTCAAAGGCCTGACCCTGGCATGCTGAGGGACCAGGTTTCCCAAGAAGGTCACTCACAGGCCATGCTCCACTATATCTCCGCGGATTAAAGTGTCCCTCCTGGAGCTGAGTTCAGTTCTGGCTCCAGTTCCCAGAATTACATCCATGCACTCCTGGCCTACTCCACAGGGGGCTCTAAAACATTTTGGCCAAAGCCCTCTGCCCAGGGAAGTTACCCCTCCCTTCACTCTCAAAGGTGATTGGCACTTAAAGTCATTTCTAAACTAAGGTACTTCTAAAGGTGCTTGGAATAATAGCTAAGAAGACCCCCCGCCCCCGCCCAGAAAGGAAATGCTAAACACAGCAAGTGAACCTAAGGGGCTTGAGTCACTGTGGGGATGGGGCAACACTTGCCTCCGTGGTCCTCCACTCAAAGGCCTGATCCTGGGACCAGGCAGGACAGCACCATGCCTGGCCTGGCTCTCAGGGGAACTCCCCTCCCCCCCTTTCCCATCGTGAGAAACCCGAGCACTGAACGGCGCTAACTGCCCCTCTCCTGATCCTGGACCCAAAGGCTCCAGGATGCTGCAGACAGAACGGGAGCAGGGAGGGCTGTCCCCCGCGCTGGAGAGTGGGTCACCCTCCGGATCCGGGAGCCGCGTTTCCCCTGACCGCTCTCTAGGGAGTCCGAGGGGCGCGTGCAGAGAAGAGCAGCCCCACTAGAGCCGGCCCCGGGCCTGGGGCCAGAAAAGTTGCTCGCGGCGCGCGCGGGCCCGCTGGGCTCTGTCCGAGGTGCTGAAAGGTCCCGGCGGCGCCGCCCGCTCTGCCCTTGGCGCCGCCGGCTGTGCCCAGCGCCCCCCTGCAGGCCGCTCACCTTTCTCTTGCGTTCGCGCGAGCGGTTCCTGCGCTTCCGGATGGATTCCTCCCTCTCCTTCTCCTGGAGGGCCTGCGCCTCGGTGTTGTCTTTGATCTTCTTCAGCTGTTTGGCCGCCTGAGCCATGGCGGGTCACGGAGTCCCTGACACTCACCGGTGCCGCTGGCGACACCCCGCGCCCGGGGACGAGGAGAAAGGGTCTGGGCCGGGCGGGATCCAGGGGGGTGCGCCGGGCGGGATCCGCGCGGGATGCGCCGGGCAGGATTCGCCGGGAGGGATCCAGGAGGGATGAGCCGGGCGGGATCCGGGGGATGCTGCGGGATGCGCCGGGCAGGATGCGCCCCGGGCAGGCTGCGGTGGCGGCGGCCTCGAGGCGCTCGCAGGGCGGGATGCGCCGGGCAGGATGCGGCCGCGGCCGCGGGGCGGGACGCGCCGGGCGGGATCCAGGAGGGATGCGCGGGGCGGGATCCGGCGGGACGCGCGGGGCGGGCTGCGGCGGCCGCGGCCCGGATTACGCCTCCCGCCCGCGAGGCCGCAGCGCGCTCGGGCGCCCGGGACGGCTGTGGGCGGCGCGGGGGGCGGCGCGGCGCGGGGGCGGGAGGCGTCGGTACTGCGGCGAGGGCCCGGCAGTCTGCGCGGGAGGCCGCGGGGGCCGGGTCGCAGGGGAGCCAGGCCGGGCCCGGGGCGCAGGGGGCCCGGGCAGCGGCACCGCCCCGGGCAGACCCTGCGGGCCTTCGCTTGCATGTCTGCCAGTTACGGATGGGGAACGTAGCTAAGCCGGAGTGAAACTGTTCCTTCGGGTTCTCTCGACGCGGGCAGAACTAGGTCTGGCGCCGGGGACCGCCCGCCCCCTTCCCAACACTCTCACACGCCCCCTCTTCGGCGACACCGCCCGGCCGGTGTTCAGCTGGGAAGAGCGACACGAATGACGGGTTTGTGTCTTAAAGGCCGGCTGCGAGAGGGGGAAGGGGCCTGGAGTGCGGCCCCACTCCCCCTCCTCCCGACCCGCGGCGAAAGTGCTCCGGACTCGCGCGCTTGGGTCTGGTGCCTCTCCCTTTCCAACCCTTCACCGTCTGTTGGGACAAAATGTTTGTTCACGATATACTAAGGATTCGTGGAAAACCACATTTTAGAACCGGAGTCGTTATTATTATGAAATGGTTTGCTCCCTTCGACCCCCTGAACTGAGGGCTTCATCTCACCTACTCCAAGACTCTGAAAGCAGGAAGCTATTACACACTCAGAAATGACCCCCAAACGGGCCCTGCACCTCCCGCTCCCCGGCTCTGCGCCCTGCTCTGCCGTCACTACGGGTGACTGAATCACCTTTCTCCTCTCCAGCCTCCAAGCTTTCCCTCTTGCTGGAGACTTCCTCTCATGCCCTCCATTTCCCTTCCAGCGCCCTCTTTTTGCAATCCTCTCTACCTGGGTGTTTGAGTATAATTAAGGTGCGCCTAAATCTGACCTTAACATGTGGGAGCCACAAGCCACAAGTCTCGGATGTAATGTGCATTTTGGAATGACCACATTTTAATAAACATAAATAAGCTGTAAACGCAAATTTACCTAAAATGTAAATTAAAATGAATTTTAATAATGCATTTCATTCAGTATTTTAAATGTTTTATTGTGCTACCAATATGAAATTATTAGCGTGTTGCTCCGCATTTCTTAACTAAGATTGCAAAATTCAGTGTGTATCTTACACTTAGAGCACAGGTAAATTCAGTCCAGGCACATGTTCTTTCCTTGAGAGCAGAGCTTACCTAACCAGCCCACATCACCACTGCCAAGAGGTACAGATTTCATCTCCAACACAGATCCCTCCAATAAGAGCAGACCCTGGGGCCTGCACCCGACTCCCTCCAACCCACACACACTGTTGGGCTGGACTAAACCCCTTCTTGCCTCCTGCCAATCCAACTCCCACCCTGCAGTCACACAAGCCTTTTCAAACACAGGTCTGATTATTGTAGTCTCAGGTTTAGAGACTATCTTTTAGACTTGCTCCTGGGATAAAGGCAGAATCTTCCCTATGGTGTATACGGTCAGGCGCCCACCTCTTGCTTGCTTAGCACTGATGTAGTACTGGCTCCAGCAGCCTTAGGCTGGATCAGTTCTGTTCCTCCCCAAAGACTTGTCCTTCCTTTCCCCTCCCCATCCTGCTCTGTCCCTACTCAGCCCCACCCCACCCCACCCCACCCCACCGAGTAGCCAATTCCAACTCATCAGACTTCAAGGTAGTCCTCACTTCCTCAAGTAGTCCCTCCTGAAGCCCAGAGCTCTACCTGCAACTAACCTCCTTTAGAGCACCTGCTCTGTGTGACTGACTCCTGTCTCCCCACGAGAGTCATTAGCTCCAGAGCAAAGGGGCAATGTCTGATTTAGCTCACCATCATATCTTTAGTATCTTACATGGTACCTGGTATTTAGTAGGGGGATCCATAAACATGTTAAAGAAACCAACAAGCCTACCCTGTTTTGACTTAAAGAATCACTGTCACTGTCACTGTCCTCCCGTTGTTCATTGATTTGCTCCAGCGGGCCCAGTAATGTCTCCATTTTGAGACTTGTTGTTACTGTGTTTGGCATATCGAATACGTCGTGGGTAGCTTGCCAGGCTTTGCCGTGTGGGCGAGATATAACAATAAAACTATTGTACCTGACAACTCCACTATCTTACAGTGCAGCACAGAGGAGTAAAGTAATTTGCTGAAGGTTACATAGTAAATAGTAGAATTTGAGCACTAGCAGTGAGCTCCCAAACTCCACAGCTCACAGGGATTATTGTTAATCACCATGCTGTATTAAACTCTTTTATTATCTACGAACAGGAATGCTAATCATACATCACTTAAGAGAATGCCGGGAAGAGAACAAGGGGAGAGATTGGGGCATGATCCTGTGACATGTCAAATGTTACTTTGACTTTAGTTTCTTAGTATGGAGGTGACAAGCTTAGATAAGTTGCTTTGTAAGGCCCTTTCCAGCTCCAGGATCTTGATTCCTCCTAAATATCTAAATCCTTATTGGAGTCTCTTGAAGATTTAAAAAAAGAAAAGTTGTATCCTTGGGACTCAAAGGGAAAATATGGATTCAAAGGTCCTGACTCTGTTCCTCTCCAATCACCTTTTTTGTGAAAATGGCTCTGGCCCTGAATTTCCAAGGAACCCACTGGGGACCATATACAGCCACAGTTGCCATCCCATTCAGGAGTCACTAGTGAGTGTGTTGTCTTGGTACCTTTGTCAACAGGCAATGATAATGAACACCATCATTTATTGACAGTTTGGCACTGCTCATCACTTACATGATATTTATTGCTCACCATAAGAGCACTATTATCCCTTGGGGCAGGAGAGATAGATAGTACAGCAGGGAGGGCATTTGCCTTGCCCAGGGCCGGCACCTGGGTTTGATTCCCCAAGAACCCCATATGGTTCCCAGAGACCACCATAGTAATTCCTGAGTACAGAGCCAGGAGTAACACCTGAGCATCACTGGATATAGACAAAACCATACAAACAACCAAAATAAAAAAGAGCATTGACATCTCTTGGTCTATGGAAGGAAACCAGATGTGTTTACTTGATTTCCCTGAGGTCACACATCTAATAAAGCAGAGTCAGAATTCAGACTTGGAGTCCAAATTCCAAGTCTGACCCAAAAGAATTTTCTCTTGCTTAAGTAATTCAGCCTTCTGTGGTGAAAAGAGTGGTCACTAGAGTTAAGCACCAACAATAACACATCCAGGGAGGCAATAAGGGCATCTTTCTGTAGTAAGGTTGGAGAGCTTGACCCTCAGTGGACACTTCTTCATGACCTTGGTCATATAAGACCTGAGGCCTCCTTCAGAAAACTAAAACTACAGAGTCCTGACTGCACCCACAGTGCGGACAGACTGCTCACTCCAATGTACTGCACATATGCTGAACACTCAGTGTGGGAGACAATACTAAAAGCTCCTTTCTTTCTCCCAGGGACAGTTATTACATAAGTAAATGTTATATTTCATAGGGTCCTTTTATTTAGTTGCTGAGTAGAGAGCAAAGGATTCTTGTTTTTAAATTTTTTTATTTGAGTTTTTTAAGCCATATCCTGTTGCACCCAGGGTTACTCCTAGTTCTCTGCTCAGGGATCACTCCTAAAGGAGCTCGGGGACCATATGTGGTGCTTGGGATTGAACTCAGGTTGGCCACATTTGAGGCAAGCATCCAAACCACTGTACTATCTCTCTGACTCAAGAGATACAGCTTTACATTGAATTGAATTTAATTCATAGAGAGTATACCCAGTGGTGCACAGGATTGACTCCTAGTGGTACTCAGGAGACCAGCAATGCTCAGACTCAAACTTAAGAGCCCACAATGCTAGCATGGGTTCCAGTCCTCTGAGCGGTCTCCCAGTCTAGATTCATTTTTATATTTTGCTCTCTTCTCTAAGATTTCCAACTGATTCCTCCAACCCCATTCTGTTATTATGCATTCATGTAACTAGACCAGTTTGAGTTCTAAAAAGAAACATCATTAATGATTAATAAAACTTCCTCAGATAAAAGCTGCCTCCTTGACTAAATAATATAAATAGATAAAATACACTGAATGTACAAGACTTCTTAAGCATATTAAACCCAAATAATAACTGCATGAGGTAGGGCCAATATCTGCATTTTACAGATGAGAAAACTGAGACATGCAAGTAATAAATCACTTATTCAAGATTAAAGGCTATTAAGTCATGAAACCTAGAATTTAAGTTAGCTCAGTTAATCTCTTTTTTTGGAAGGTGAGCCTCAGCTGCAATGCTCAGGACTTATTTCCTGGTTCTGTGCTGAGGAATCCTCCTGACGATGCTCAGAGGACCATATGTGGTGCCAGAGATTGAACTCAGGCTGGTCTCAAGCAAGACAAATGATTTCATTCCTGTGCTCTGTCTCCAACCCAATCCAGTTCACCTTTAATCTGAACTTCACTCTAAAGCTGGAGCTATCTTACTAGATTGAGGATGGACCTTAAAGTTTCTCTCTCATTCCTATACTATAAACCCCTTTTAAGAAAAAAGAAGCCAACAGATGTTAACCTACAAACCATCTAACCCTGCAGCTGTTCAATTCAAATTTAACCAGGAATGTTCAATCATGTGGAAGAGTAAAGCCCAAGGAAAATCAGAAAATTTCAAAATCTGGAGGAATCACCTTTCTAATCAATGGGAGGATTGGACTTCTTGGCTCACCTCATTTTCTCAGGTCAAATCCCTCCAGGAAACCCACTCTAGATTCCAAACCATCTTTCTAGTATATTTTAACACATACCACACTAGGCTCTGCACTCTTGTGA